TATATATATATATATATATATATATATAATTCAAGTTAAAGATAATAAGAAGCTGATTTCTTACTCAACCCTTTACCTTTGGCAAATGTTGATTTTTTATTTTTGTCTTTAAAATAAGTTGTTTTTTATTTCCTGCGCTTAGAAATTGAATTTTCCAATGGAGTATACATTTTTTTTAAACACGAAACATAACTTGTAAGATGATATAATAAAATAAATAAATTTACATCCGTTAAAAAAATTATTTGACCTGAGACCGATCCAGAAATACTATTTAAACTTGAGAAAATTTCATAAAAAACATAACTTGAAAGATGATATAATAAAATAAATAAATTTATATCGGCTAAAAAAATTATTTGACCTGAAACCGATCTAGAGATACTATTTAAACATGAGAAAATTTCAAAAACAGTTAACTTTAAAAAGAAAATTAGTCTCTTTAACTAATATTTTTCTAATTACAATTTATAGTTATAGTTTAATGTGCTATTTGATTCATTAAATATATTTCACTTCTAAAATTTGTAGGTATACAAATAAATTAAAAGGTAATATACGTAGACATTGAAATTTTGCGGACTCTACAAGATGTGTTCAATTCGAATTGGGACTCTAGAAGGCGTGTTCAGTTTCAATTAGAATTTTTAGAGGCTACTCAACCCTAAACCCCAGTATATGCCTATATAAATAGTACTAAATTCCCTCAAAAGGCATATCAAAAAATCCCATAAACTCTTGGATATTTTTAAAGATCAAGATCTCGAATATTCCACAAAAGTCATGGAATATTCATATAAAGCTCAAATCTAAATCATCCTAGCTAGTTCGAGAAATACGCCACTAACGGCCCTCGAATGATAGATAAATCTTAGGAGAGTAGAATCAAGGGAGGAACAGAATTGTACCCACATATTTATCAATAAAGTTATGTTTCTTCAGATTTTATTTGTGTGGTTTATTTATTTTTCATATGTTTAAAATTTATTGCAAACAATGTGTTAGCCACGAAACAAATTTTTATAAACTATTTTTTTTTGCAGGAATCATGCACAATATCTTTTGTCCTAATCATCTTTTATCGATAGGACTCTTCAAGCTTTAAACTTCATCGTTAAACCACAATATGTAAAAAGTTCGATTCAAAATTCACGAATCAATTTCAATATAAGTTAAGGTGCAGTGTGAAGACTAACAATTTTTAAAAATAAATAATAAATCCTAATCAATATCTCCACGAGGAGTCAATTAATACTTCTGAGTCAGAAATTATCCAGTATGAATAAGTTAAAAACAATAAAATATTACTAGTATATTATACATTGAATCATGTTGACTATTTTGTGTATTTACTTCATTTTTTTAAATATATTTCAATTTATATCTTAACTGACTCCACTATTTATATTACGAAAAAAGGGTATCTATCTTAATCTTAGCACACAGCTAATAAAGCTATAATATGACCACAAAAGAGTTCCATTTTTATAAGAAAACGCGTTTGGACCAGTGGTTGAAGTTTATCAAATTAAAAGCATTAATGTGTATATGGAACAATTATTTAGGATTTTGGGAATTGTGCCATCACAAAAACTTGTAAAGTAGCATAAGAGTGAAAAAGATAAGATAATGATTTTAGAAGTCAAAAGCAAACATCCTGTAGCATTCAACAACCTCCAACGAAGGGTATGGTACGATATTAAAAATTTTAAATTTAAATTTTATCCTCCTCAAATTCTACTAATTTAATTACATTAAATATGTTATTATTCAAAAACATTAATCTATTATGATCATATCAAATTGATTTAATACTTTTCAAATTCAATTTTGATATTTTACGCAACAAGATAAAAAGTAGGAAAAATTACAGAAATTCCATTTTTTAGTTTACTTATTACCATTATCCCTTATAAGTTTTACAAATTTCCAAAATCCCTCATTTTCGCGCATCAGATTAGTGTATCTCGCGCATCAGATTAATGTATCAGCGCTTATATTATTGTATCTCGCGCATCAGATTAGTGTATCATGTATAAAATGTAATATATCTTACTTAACGATTAATGTATCTCGCGCATCAGATTAATGCATCAGTGTCTATTATTATTGTATCCGTTTGAGGAATTTCTGTAATTATAAACTTTTAAATGATAAATTGTAATTTTGTCTTAAAAGTATGTGATTTCTGTAATTTGCCGAAAAAAGTATAATAGTTTGTTAGATTTCGATATACATATAATTTAATTATACCATAATAACACTTTAAATATGTAGAATTTATTTTTTTATTAAAAAAAAGTACAAACAATTATATTCATTAATTACTTATACAAAAATTTCAATCAGATAAAATAATCAAAATTTTAATGTTTTGTAGTATATAAATTATATACTTTATTACTATAATATTCAGCATATATCTACCACTAGACATCGGAGCCCTAGCTAGCACGGCCCAATATGCATCATTGTTTGTTTCAATTTATGTGACAAAGACAAAATTAAAGAGTTAATTAAACTTTAATATTAATTTAAAATAGTTTAAATTTTAATTATTGCTAACTATGGTAAAAAAATTTTTATGTCTTTTAACATTCTAAATTGCTAATTATTGTTGTATGATTTGTAATATATTTTACGCAATTTTCAAATAATAAAAGTTATTTCTTCTTTCTCAATTTATGTGGTATTAATAAAAATTCGAGATTCAATCAATTTTTTTTGTCTTTAAAATATTCTATTGTTAATTACTGTAAATTATTGTACTTTCTAAGTAATTTTCAAATAATATATATTATTTCATTTGTCCAATTTATGTCTCACCGATAAAATTTAAAGAGTTAATCAGATCTTTTACATATTTTTATATCTTTTGAATATTTAAGTAAATAATTATGTGATTTATAATATTTTATACAATTATTTTTAAAAAATTAAACAACAAACAAAACGAATTCATCATAGGAAAATTACCAAAACATCCTTCAATACATCAAATATGGGTCCCACTTTTGTTTAAAAAAATATGCATATTGGGAGAATATTTTTGTCCAAAGTGGAAATAGAATAAGTATAAAGCATTAAAGTCTTCTAAAATTTTAAATTGTTAATTCTTATTGTATGATTTGTAATACTTTTACGCCATTTTCAAATAATAGAGGTCATTTCTTCTTTCTCAATTTATGTAGTACTAAAAAAAATTTGAAATTCAATCAATTTTTTTTGTCTTTGAAATATTTCTACTGTTAATTACTGTAATTCATAGTACTTTCTAAGAAATTTTTAAATAATATATATTATTTCATTTGTCCCAATTTATGTGTCACCGGTAAAATTTGAAGAGTCAATCAGATCTTTTATATATTTTTATATCTTTTAAATATTTAAGTAATTAATTATCGTGATTTATAATATTTTATACAATTATTTAGTATAGTAAAATAAATTTAAAAGAAACAAACAAAACGAATTCATCATAGGAAATTACCAAAGCATCCTTCAATACATCAATAATGGGTCCCACTTTTTGTTTTTAAGAAATTGCACATTCGAAGGATATTTTTGTCGAAAGTGGAAATATTGTGTAAAAAATGTGTATTTATTGTGATTTTGAATGTTTTGTGGGGTAATAGGACGCACACAAAGTTAAGGTGTCTTTTTGAAAATCTGGGACAACTTCAAGTATCACTTAATGTTTTTTCTCAAAATTTAATTTACTTTCGTAAACTATGTGTCAGATCAAAATCATATTAACAAATTCAAAAGAAATGAGTAATAAATAGCTCATACAATGACATATTTATTATTTAAAAGAAGTACTCATTTTAATTGAAAGCTAACAAAATAGTTACAATGTAATT